GTATTTCAAAATGTATATATGTATTTAAAAACTCACACTGTGCACTTTAAATCTATACAATTTTTATTTGTCAATCATACCTCAATAAAACTGGAAAAAATAAACAGAAATAATAGGAGAAATTGGGTGGGTGGGGAATATGGGACCATAAGAGAAATTTAGGGGGAGGGGTTATAGGGAACCTTTTTGTATTTATTATCATTGCAACTTTTTTTAAAGTTTATTTCTTCCATGAGAGAAGCACAGAGTTCTCATGTCACAATTCACTCTCAGCTGCAGCCAGCCTGAATCATAGCCACACACACATGTACTTGACATGTACATGTACAGGAAGGCCTTGTGACATGAACTTGGGGCCTCTCCATATGGGTCCAGCACTCCAGAATGTTGCATTATTGCTCTGCCATCAGCTGGTCCCCTTTGCAACTTTCCTTCTAAACTTCTAAAATAAAAAGTTCACTTAAATATAAAATATTTTTATAATATAGCTTATGATATGAAGTATTCTGTGAATGTAGTATTTTGAATGATTGTATCATTGTTTTTAATGCCACTGCTTATACATCTTTTCCTACAAAAGAATAGACTAGATATGGCCTCTAGAGGCCAGTGTTGGGCCATAGAAAGATTTCTACAGTTTGTGCCCAAGTTAAAGATGGGCTTACCGATTTTCTCACTCTACAAACACAAGGCGTCTTACTCGTTATCCCTCTTGGGGGGAAAATAAAAGCATAAGAAAATGTATGCCTCTTCTGTTATCCTGATTAGTTGGAGGTCCTGTTTTCACTTGATAGAGACAATGTACAGTTTACTTGGGCAAAACTAAAAACAGTTTATAGATTGATGAGGATGTGTATAAGATAAGGTAGGGTTTTGATCTGTTAATTCTATGGTAATTTGCTGGTGGGGAGGGGGAGGAAAGGAAGGAACAATTGCTCTAGCTTCTGGAGTAATCAAAATAGAAACTCAACATTTTAATTTTAAAATTACTGCTCCATAGGTAATCTCATGAAGTTGACATTTTATTTTTATTTTATTATTTATTTATTTATTTATTTACTTTTGGAGAGGTTTTTGCTATAGGGCACGTGTGTTCGTC